TCTTCGACTGCGATTCGCATTTAGCCACAACTCCGAGTGTTAACAAAAGTTAACATTATAATTACCTACTTATGAATTTTTAGGTAAAGAAAATTGATCATTTCCTCATTTATCACTGTTATTAAATCTGTATCCAGACCGTTAACTGCTAGAGATCCATGCACAAAACAATTATGTTTTCTAGGGTGATTTTAGGTTTTTATCTAAAATTTTAGTTAAATGATTTTAACCATTAACGCATTAAAACTAATATTGTTATTATTATGTAAAATATATTGTTTACTATTGAACTTGTCCCATTTAATTGCAGTTGCCTTGCTTCACACTATACGTTATTCTTAAAATATAGTAAGAAGTACAGTAAAATACAGTAGAATACTGTTGTTAAACTGTTTTGGTCATAAATGCATTTAAAACATGTTCACGATATTTTGATTATATTTAAATATTAGTTTTACACTTTTATGTCAAAAGTTTATGTCGACTAAAGAAGAACGATGTTAGAAGTTTTTAATTATTTAAATTCTTAACACTGTAGGTTAATTTTTTCTTGAATAATTGGCCTCATACTATATGACATTATGCTGAATTGATAGATTAAAAGTATGGATAGCGTCATCCATGGATTAACACGTCTATGTTTGAAATATTATGCTAAACCACCAAGTGGTAACATTTTTTTTGCATTGTAAGCATCTTTATGGGATAAAGTAAACAGCTATCGATAAAAAAAATTAATTAAGTTATATTGATAATTACGTCTTTAAAGTAGAGTAAATGCGTATAATTATCAATTTTAAAAAAAGTTATTAAATATAATTAATTAGTAATTCTCCATGGTAATCTAAAAACGTGCCTGAATGTCGCTTCTGATTTATCTGTTCTATACTCGTTGATGTTTATACATTACTACATTTTTCGACAAGCTAAAATAATATTTGAATTAATAACCGTTACATCATTCTGCCGTGAGAGGTATTGAAATCGAACATTACAACTATGCAAAATGATTCCTTTATGATTACACAGTCTCTCGAACATTTCGTATTGAGTCATTCCCAATATGTAAATATTAGGTTCCTAACATAATCCATAAACCCACAAAACGACACGTAGGCCAAACAAAACGGTCCGAAGCTTATTGTGAAGTTAATTAACCGTGACTGTGATATTAGATGTCGAAGTCCATTACTGGTTACGAGTTATGACATTTGACTGATGAAAGCATACATGTTATTTTTATCTTGCATTAAACATGTTAATTATTGTTTACATTATTATACAAACCTTTTAATCAATAATAAATCTATATTAGTATAATACAATTATATAATAGTACCTATATTTTAACTAAAATTAAGTTCGACTGAGCAATCTTTTACCGATTTAAGGCATTAAGGCGAGTTTTAGAAGTTAAATGTATACATCTTGAGCTGGCTTGACGGTTGTCATCATAACTATTTTGTATATTATGTCCGAAATAAAAAGCTTAAAGTGCAGTGTTTGAGGTGATATAATACATTTCTATCGTAGCAGAATATATTTAAATAAGTACCAAATATTTGTATTCAATATACTCGTGATAGACCCAAGTGATTCAAACTGTAGCTCTCGTGATTTTACTTTTTATTATCAGATTATGTTCAAATGATTTTTAATCTAAAAAATAGATCACTAAAAATGAGTACACCGACAAGTAATTAATTTGCCTCGTTAGCTGCGTTATCTAATACTATGCCAACTGGTTTGAATACCATGCCTAAAATAAACTTTACTATTATAGTAACTTAACCTAATACCACATAACCAGAGTCAATTATAAAACGAACACGGATAATTTAATACTTACACATATAATACATTTTACAATAGAATACTTTTTTTATAACAAGTGTCTTTAAAAGAAAAATTATACTATTCCAAAAAATTGAAAAATAAGTTATATCATTTAGTTTACACACCATCTGTGCTCTACATCATATAACTTAATTTAATATTGTTTTAAATAAAAGTATAAATTATATTTTAGATTTCCGTCTTACTAAAGAGAACGTTTTTATAAATACGTGAAAATAAGTAGTGCTTATAATTTATTTTAATATAATCATAAAACCATAGATAGCCAATGGGTGCAGCCAATAGCGTTTACTTTAAATTGAACTTCTCCCCTTAGCCCTTGATTTTTATAAGTCAACGGTCGAGGCTCAATACTGAACTACAGTAAAGTTATACGGTTATACATTACTATATAAAGTAGCAAAACACAACGGGTCAGCAAAAATAATACTAATTTATTGCGGCAAATAGTTTCATAATAAAGTCTCTTGAGTAACGACTTCAAACAGATAAAAGGTATCGGGCTTACATGTAATTCAATAGGCTGCTCTTAGTGAAACGTCCAGAAACCCGTTCATAGAAGGCAAAGCGAGATTAACGACTAGGCTATTGGCTAAATAATATTTGCCACACCTAACACAAAATTATTTGCACATCAATCGTGGAGACACATTAGTTTATCAACGAAAAAGGCCTACATTACCATTTTTGTCGTTCGAGATTTTGTTTTGTTTGGCATCTTAAGAAACGGTAATATAATATCCTCGTTGAGGCCTTAAAAAGGTGTGTGCGAATACAGTCAGTCCTAACAATAATATATTTGTTTATTATACTAATATATGCATACAAAAATCGATGATTATTTTTTAATTAGCTATTAATTATTATCGGATTTATTAACATTAAATTTAACTCTTAACAATTGTCTTACACGTGACTCCACACAAGCAGTTTTCATCTTATCCAGAAAGAATTTAAGCTAAATGTCCTAGTCGATAACTAAATAGGTGTTACTATAGTTGTTTCAGTCAAATATACACTGATTAGGCATACTATTCTTCAACCCAGTCAATGCAGTTTACCCCATTTTGAACCCGTCTCGACCAGTACATCCCAAGTCTTCTCAAACATCAGCCATAAACTTGTACCAGATTTTCAATTATAAAATACGTGTATGTAACTAATGTTATTAGTATTAATTAAGTAATTATATTGATTACTAACGAAAAACTCCCGTATGGTATTACAAGGTTAAATTCCACAAAATATACGTATGAGGTCTCCCAAAAAATTTCTCGGAGCTCTAAAACAGAATTTTACGTAAAATTACTAAGATCATCTCCTTAGTACACGGTTGTTAATTCGAACGTTACTTTGGCACAAACCTCTGTTTTATTGTCTTTTACTGTGTAGTGTGTACGCTATAAGTACACCATGATTAACTGTAATATATCTGATTTCTTCTTTTGAAATTGGATAATCTCTTGGAAATTGGAATTTGTTGTTGTTATTCATAATATTTAGTATTTACCGTATTTCATTATAATATTAGTAATTGTTTACCCGGGTAATACAATATTTTATAAACACTACAACGTACTTCCGTAAAATTAATACATACATAAATTAATTTATACAGTATAAAGTGTACTTAATTTTGCTAGATAATATTCGATTGTATGTTAAACATTCAACTGTTTATGCCGGTTTGTACAAAACAATTGATCATTTTAATGGGTTATTAAAATGTAATGGATTTATGGATAGGCCATCAAATTATGTTTAGGGAACCACACAATATTAACTAATGATTCGCTAAGCACTTATAAAATGTTTTTTTTACTAGGAATATTAGATTTATCTCCATTTAGGAGGGAGAGAGAGAGAGAGAGAGAATAAATAAATAAGTTAACTGTTTTTACTTGGCGCAGTTGTTAAAATAATAAAATTAGTCGCAATTTTTCAATCAAACTGTTTATTTGTGTATTTATATTATCCCCTTAATATGTAATCAAATTATTACTCTTTTTCGTCTTGGTCCAACCAAGTAGGATCGATCTTATTTCTCTGTTCATTATCCTACTTTATAAATCTTTGGTGTGCTATTCATAAAATCTATTTATGATTTATTTTATATTAGATTTACCTCTTAACTATGATGTCTTACATTTTTTATAATTTATACTCCTTTCTACTTCCAACATGCTTAAATAATCTCGGTCTATTTTATTTCATTACCCCGTTAACGAGTGTCACCTGGCACTACTTTTTAAATCGTTTATTTTGTACTCGAATATTGTTTCTAACTCAACCTAATTCAATAATCCTACAAACTAACCGGTATTATATTTTCCCAATTTTAACTAATATATAATCACTATCCTCGTCCTTACATCGCAGTCAATATCTCAAATGCATATAACTGTGTAGGTAGAATACATGCTGTCTTCTTTCACTTTAAATAGCCATATTTAAAATTTTTCTTTATATCTCTATAATCATCTATTCACTTCTCGCTCTCGGAGCCATACAGATTATTTACCACGGCAACTCTCAACTCTTCAAATTTATTAACTCTAAATTCGCAGTTTCCTACCCAATTATTCTCAAAGTTTAACTCCTTTTCAATGCCCCTCAGTTGTTCTGGTTTAATATTTTCAAAGCCAACAGCATTAATATATTATAGATAAAGCGCCGATCCACATAACTAGAAGCAAAACACACGGTAGTTTATTATTAAGTATATTATACGAACAGTGGAGTGATGTAGCTATTCATGCATGTATACAATGATCTCGGGTGTACTAGAAATAGAACCTCGGTGTACTACTGTTATTATTATACAGAGAAGTACATACGACGACTCACGGTAGACACCGTCGGCTAAAACGGTTGGCCACATGACCCCGAAAAAAAAAAGCGAGCACCGCTGCGTTGGAGGGTAGGTTATACGTGCAGCATTTAATGGTCCGTAACTGACTATCTAATATCGTTTGCTGGATCACACGTGGTGTTCAGAAGAGCTGTTGTGTGTATTTTTAGACTTAAACCAACTACGTGCGCTCTATCATCGGCAAACAGCCCACCGGCCCAACGCTTTGTCGCGGATAGTGAACAATAGTCCGTACGTGATCCGAAACCGCACTTATATGCACTTTACTTACTTGTATGTGAGTGGCGACTGGACTTCTGATAGCCGCCGGATCTAGGATTTCTGAAGGGACGTCCGGCAGCACCGGCGTTGCATCCAAGTAGCCCGGTTCCGGTACTACGGACACGTGTTCTCGAGGTTCCAGTTCGCTGACGAAATGATCGGCCACCAGCCATTGCGTGTGCGACACCCGAGCGGCGCAAGTAGTCCGGCAATAGTGGCCGCCGCCGCCGCCTTTGGTCGACGATTTTTTTTTAGACTTCTTCAACGAAAACTGCCGGCAGAAATGGTTGACCGCCGACGAAGGGCTCTGACACCGGTCCGAATCGGGCTCGAACATACTCTCGGCGGTCTAAAAGAACAATACAGTTATATTATTTTAAAATAATACAATTCTATACTATACACGAGGAGACAAGAATCACGATCAACTGATAATACAAAGTCGAAGTACTGTACGATTTTGGCATAGGCGATATAAATAACATAAGTTGGAAGGTTGAAGGCCCTGATTCGTTTATCAGAGCACTCGGCCGACAGTTGAGAAGTTACTATAAAAAGTTCAAATCTAGGTCGTCTACTAATGTGTTTGTCATTTTTTTGTATATTATTTTCTTTCAACTTTTGTTATATTCGGGGCCAGATTATCACGATTCTGCCTCCCTGTATAAAATAGATTACAAATTCTGTTTAAAAAAATAAAGTAACAACAAAATCTAGAAAAGACCACTGCGCGATTACGCAATAAGTTTCAGTCAAACACACGCCGTTCTTTGTGCTACGATACGGTTTAAGATAAAAATATTGTTAGATATTACTATTACAGCAACGACGTTTTTTTTTTTTTTTGAACAACCGTGGGACATTTTTCTGATAAAATAACATTACGATAATTACGCCTTCAGTTAATGATTTAGTTAGTCTTATTGATCGACATTCGATCAAGTCAAATAAGAAAACATAATGAAGAAAAAATCGAAATCGTATAGTTCACAAATATATACATGCACTCGCGTAGAAAACCTAACCCCTGACTAAGTGTAATGCTCTTTGTTGACAGATTAATTCAATGGCAAACTAATGAGTCATAGTACAAAAGAAACAGTAATTTTTGTTTGCGGAAGAAGCTAAATAATATTGAATAGTTAATAGTTATTTAACATACTCATAAATATTCTTAAATTTAATTTTTATGGCTGTGGAATATGACCATGTAAAGTACCGATTCGTTAAAATATTAATACTTATTAGTTATTACTACTAATATATCATATAGGTATTAATAGTTGCTGTAGTTAATAGCCGGTGTTACTAGCATGATTTTTATAAGTACGGTTGAACACTGAGACACTGCTATAGATTAATGAGTTAATGAAAGGAAATGTTTTCAATCTCCTTTTAATGGATAGTTTTTTATTACTTATACACGTGTAGAAACGTATTTCACTTATAATTTTACTATAAAAAAAGTTTAGAGTAATGTTGCAAGTCATAATATTTTTATATTACCAGCGAAAAGGTATCAAAAAATCTATAGAAAAACTTACTAATATGAGTAGGATTCCACTTAAGTTATATCATCATGAAGCTTGATCTTTAAAGTAAAAATAGCTATCGTCTCATGTCATTATAAATATACTGAGATTATTTCCTGCGTTTGAAAATCAAAACGTTATAAATATACTTTAAGTATTATATTAAAAAGATAAGTACAGAGTTGATGGGCTATTTCTTTTTTATTGTCGGTATACACAACAGTGTGTAACAATACATTTATATAATAATTACCGTTTTAGTAACCAAGAAGTGGGTAAGCTAAAAGTGTATGTTACAATACTAAATTGTATTTCAAGTATTGAGAAATGTATGTTTTACATTATTCTATTTGTTAGCATAACTTAAAATATATTCTTTTCAAACGAAAAAAATTAATAATTAAACATTTTGAATGACTCTTTTTAGGGGAGGGGGCTTAGCATTTCAAGCAACTCCTCTATTTATGTTTGTGACAATATAATAACATTTACTCATCACTGTTTTAAAAAAAATTAATTAACGGGATGTTAGACTTTGACTTCCAAACCCCTCATAATTTTTCATCCACTCCTAAAATAGTAAGCACTTTTTTATGTGATAATAGACAAATTGCGTTGTTTTTAATACCTATTATAGACTACACGCTTAGGGTTAATTTTCAGATTAATAAATATTTAAAATAATATATTTAAATATATATCCACATATTGGTACTTACATTATTAGTAGGTTCAAACGGTTGAAATTGCATTCTAATCTATAAGGGTATTTAACGTATTATGTTTTATTATGATGAATAATAATAATGTTAAGATTATGATCAGATTAATGAATCAAAGTCATCCTGACAAACCAAATAATGCCATGCTCACACACACGCCACTATCTATACAAGTACCTTACCTCAAGATAATGGTAGTTAAATTATGGGTCACACCTCCGCCGGACAGTAAAAAGCGTTGAAATAAAACATTATTTTATTATGTATATAGGTAAATAAAAATTAAAAAATTAATTTTATAATTATTTTAAACACATAAAATATATGGCGCATTATAGTTATTTTATAATTAAAGCTGAGAAACTTTTTTTTTAAGAGAAATGAAAAGTGGAAACTATTAAGAAACAAAATCAGCAATATTTGACAACAACTTATCATTTATTTTGAGTACCATAATTCTTTGGAATAGTATTTTAGCTACAATCAAAGTAGTTGTGCGGTTTAACAACTATAAGATATTATAGATAAAATATAATTGAAGGGCACAGGGGAAAAACGGTAGTTGTCACATTATGAAAATTTTAGAGTATAGCAAAAACAAAGTTCGTGAATTCCTCTATCTCTTACAAAAAAAAAACACATAAAATGCTACTCTAATAACAAATGTATTTATTTAAACAATATATTGACATAAATAAAAAAACAATTTTCATAATGTGACTACTACCGTTTTTCCCCTGTGTCCTTCAAATATTATTGGAAATAATAATTTTTAACGATTTTCTAGAGTTAATTTATGAACCATTAGAAACATGGATTTTATCATAGAGAAATTCATTAGGTATACAACAAATCATAAATTGAATGCGAGTGTGTGAGTGTATGTAATGTGTACTATATGTATAGGTTTGAGTATAAAATGAAACACGACATACGTTTTAGATATAATACGAAGAAAGTGGATTTGTTGTTTCTCCGGCGCAGCGTGTGTATAATATATAGACCAATTTGTTACGGAAGCGGTTATTGTGGCGGAAGAAGATGAAGGAATGAGATAAAGATGGCCAATGTCCATGTATCAAACGCCTGGATGGAAAACCCGGGTTTAGTAGCAAATACAAAAGTCTATACTACAAAAAAAGCTGTACAACAAAACGTCGAACGACAGGGGCCTTTTTTCGAAAGCTACTCCCAACACTTGGGCGTGAGAATAAAATCTACCGGTGGCGTTAAATGAGATATTCGAAAATAATTACAGTAAATTTAAGTAATACCATATCACGTGCGTGCTTTGTGCCCGAGCACGAGCACAGTTCAAGTGGTTTACGGTCCTCTACTGCTGTCGAAGAACACTGCATTGCATCAACTGCCCGATGTTCGCTTGGCCAAGGGGGGTCCATGTCATAGCAGTGATTATAACGTCGGACATGTTAACGGTCGTAATGTACGTGCACAGTGCAGGGACGCCCGCCCTCGACTGGATTTTTTTTGTTCTTGACCAGTCGTCAACAGTTTGTAAATCGATGTGAATGAGCGCCGCACGAACATAATGCGCTACACAACCATAGATGATAAAATAATACGTTGGAGTACTTAACATACAGCCCGGACCCGAGATATTTTACCGGTCCACAGTGTCCAAGACAAACGTTATATTTTACCTAATAAATGGATCAGAAAAATCGTTCATTAGTTATTGTTATTTATGATTGATCAGTTAGCACTCTTGTACAATATACTTTATATATATATGTGTGTAGTCTGTAGAAATACATATCAAATACTCGTCTAGTTCATCTTTTAGCGAGAACAAGTATGTATTTTTAGAACGCATAATAAACAACATGGTAGTTATTATTTTTAACAACAGTAATCCGGCAACGGTCAATTTTATTATTATACATAACGACATATTAATGCATTTTGTTATAACGGTAAACGTTTGGTTAAAACTCAAGAGTCAGCGCCGCACACTTTACAAGATTTTCAAAGTATTCAAATAACAAAATATTTTGTTATTACATCGGTATCGAATATTATGTCGAACACCATAGCAGAGCGTCTCGTAATACAGATATTAAGGATGATCATTTTTGAACAGTACCTCCCGACATGTCATACTGATAGTTTTATGTTTCAATAACGCTTGTAAGCATCACACTGTGCGATCCCATACATCGATATTACAATGCATTATGCTATAGAATGTAATGTAATATAGTACATCTCCACAAAGTGATCATGTACTAAATAAATGGTTTTTAATGATCAGAGACAAAAACCAAACAGGAGACGTTCTTAGCCGGCATTACATTGTATTCGTTATAATAAAGAAATTAATATTTAAAATCCTTAACCATAAAATAATACACTCTCTGCGTATACGTTTTATCTTTGGTACTACCTAATAAAGATTTTATGTTATAACTTTTCGATGCAACTAGAGTTAAACTGTAATTTTTAAAAATGTTTGTTAACCCCCTTGAAATACCTAGAAAATAAACCATACCCGATCTTATAATTTTTCCATTGTCCCTCCTTAGCGTGCTGGCTGTTTTAACTACCCTTGACAATTTATGCTAATTCAGTAATCTAAAAATAATATTTGCATCATTTGTATTCGTTATTAATATTTTTTTTTATTTGTCCCATCGGATAATTATCTCAAATTCAATAGACTTGAGGTGTAGGGTTTTTAGGAGCCTTAATAACAACCCTATTAACGATATAATACCGGTTAGTAGGACGTCACTGCCAAATAGGCGACGACGATCGGTAGATAGCTGTAGGTAAATGATTGTATTTGTTGGTAAACATAATGGCAGTGAGAGTGAAAAAAAAATTACAGTCGTGAGGATATAATTTGAAAAACGATCCACTGTCACGAAACACTCGATTATGTGCAGCTGAACCCGGGAGGGCATTAAAGCAAATATAACTTGTAAAAAAATCAGATGGGAACACACACACACAACAAAGTTTGTACGGACATAAGAATAATGAACAAGATTTATTGTTCTATCCAACTCCCGAGGCAATAACAATTACATTTTTTCTAGAGAAATTATGTACAACAAGTTCAACGGCAATAAACA